ACTCTTAAAAATCTACTTGTGCTGCAAAATATATTTCCGCTCGGTCCGTACGACATATGCAAGCAAATCGTACCCTACTTATCGGTGGATTTTTTTATATCGATCGTTTTTATCCTTACGGATGTTCAATAGTTATATACGTTCTCGTTTTCCCCGGTAACGATCGACGTCGCCTCATGAACGTAACTGGTCTAGAGCCAATGATATACTAACAGTTTAACAGTCCGCATTATATTACATGCAATTCGATTTGATCGCGACCCATCAAGTTCTGGGATTCGTCCTTGCCGCGTTTTCGTATAATCACGCTTTGACAACCACCGGTGGAAATCTTGTCTCGGACTGCAGTTGACCAGGGGCGGGTTTGATGGGGTGGCTAAAAGGTTAAAAGCCCCCTCCCTCCCATCGGGACTAAGGTAACCGTTTTACGAAGCCAAGTATTATGATTTATTATAAAATATCGTCAATCGTCATTGATGAACATGGTACCTATTTTGCACATTTTTCTATAAATAAATAGCTTGTTTTTGTTGTTAAATATATGTGTATACCTATATTTTCAAAATGGTTTCAGATTGAAATCGATACCGATTATGTAACTATTTTGTAGAAAAATTACTTACTTACGAGGGACTCGATAACATGTTCTGTAATTGAAAATTTTATACGGATTTATAAAAACAACTAACCAAAGTCTTGAACCTCCACTAGCCCCCCCCCCCCCCCCCCTTTTGGTGAGTGGAGGTAAAACCCGCCCCTGCAGGTGACACGGTGATTTGCGTTTATTTCATGCCGTACGAGTGTTGTGTCGGCGGGGACAAGGTTGAAACCGCGGCGAGCGAAATATTGTACCTACTATATGAAATCTGTGCGAGTGTGTTAAATGTTTTCTTCCTGAAACGTACGACCGCGCGTGTTTTATCCCGTTTCCGTAGCGTATAAATATAAACGAAAGAAAAAAAAAATAAGAGGAAAAAATACTACAACGAAATAGGAAAACACGAGACTGGCTGGCGTTGTTCCAAGATCGCGGTCGTCAATGTGCGACGTTGAATGCGGTGTCCGATGCCGCCGCGACGCGCGTTGTTATTACGATATCGTATTTATTACATTATACCGTAATACGTTACCGTCGGTTTCGTTTGGTCTCGGTTCTCCGTCGAATGTGCGACGTCTGAACGGCAACGACGGAAAAAGTATATATTTAGTAAAACAAAAATTATAATAACAATAATAACCGTTCGAGTTCATGTTAAAACCACGGCTGTACAAGGGCAGCGGCGAAGCAACGGTATGGCGAACCGTGCGTACGCCGGGGGCGTGAATTGCAAAGGAGCGCGAAATCGTGTAAAATCCGTATTTTTATCCTGCAGTAAAATCGAAATTTTTCCGTTATACTTTTTGAATCAGTATGTAGATGTTTTCCGTTCGTACACATTACGAGTAAATTTAATGATGAAATTGCGAAAGTAGCACAAGGGCATTTGAATAAAAAATTTCATATGAAGAATTTATCGATGAACTCGCTGGTCATAAAGCGAGAAAAGCAAATTGTCAAAGTTTAAAATTAACACTGTAATAATAACTTATAAATATAAGTTGTATGCTTTCAAAAATTAGTAAAATAAAAGGTTTAAAAAAATTAACCTAACATTAAATTTTTATTGGTTAGAAAGCGTTTTTATCTAAGTTTGCCAAGGTCGCTAGCTAGTCTTCCTACGCCACTGTATAGGTATTTCGACTTACCTAAAGAAGGGGGAGGAGTGACTTACATTTTTTTTTTTTTTAATTTAGGCTCAAAATGTACAAGTAAAATTGTTGGTAATATTTAAATCTGGTGAGTCCCTAATATTTGTGGTTTTTTTTTAATGTAATACCGGATCCATTTAGAATCGACTTTTGTGTAATTCTTTTTTAACACCTGTCTGTGTTTATTTGATTTTTCACCAAGTATGGACCCGACAAAAAGCCGAATTCGGTGTTCACAGCCACGCGTAATACGATTTCGTTATAAAATGATTCACGTTAAAACAACTTTGAAACATGTATCTCACGCATAATCGATTCGTCGAATACGGATTCGAGGGGAGGTGCGATTGCCCCTTCGCCCTTGCGGCTATATATTTCTCTTAAGTAAGCGTTCTATTCGGATTTCGAAATTAGCGAGAAACACGTCCATTTCTACAGTCCACGCCATTCCAATCATAGAATTTCACTTTGCGTGTGTTACACACGGCAGTGCAGATATTACGAATACACTTTACCGTTTCTTAACGTTTTTTTATCGTATATTTTTTTACCTAGTCCATAAACAGTTATTATTAAAACATAAAAACCATTAAGAAATCTTAATCGTACAATACGGCGGGAGTTTAATTTTATTGTAAACACGACGAGGTATCTTCATTTTATTTATTTTTATTCCATTATAAATTCAATATTTTCGTAAGCGTACACGTACACAATCGCGTTCAAAGTAATACCACCCAATGGTGCCCGGGTACCGGTTATCTACAGTTATCAGGAGATGACCGGGGTGTGTGTTTCGAATTATTTCTCACGTTTAACGATACGTTGATTTCATCAAATAAGTGCATGCGCGTATTTCACCGCTTTTAGTGCCGGTCATTACGACACCGTATGTAGGTACATAACGCACATGTAGTTGTTATATATTCATAGGCGCACGTAACACGTTGTTGTGCAGACGACGATGACGGACGTACAGAGTACCGATGATGTAAAACCGGAAAGCGATGAAAAATAATATAATCTCGTTACGTGGGCGGTTTCGCGCGGGTAGGTGGCAGTGGTGCGATTAAAAATGCGAGAGATGCGAGATAACGTGCATATTGACGCTCGGACGCGTTCTTAACCATTCGTTTCTCTGGGCTGCCGACCCTGCCCTCGCCACCGATTCGTCCCGGAACGCCGTGTCCGCGGGGCGTTTTCACTGGACATGATAATTATTTCTACCGCTCGTCAGGAAGGGGTGAAGAGGCGATCATTCCCCCCGCCCCTCTGAATCCGAATTTAAGGAATCGATTATACGTGAGGTACACGTTTCAAATTTTTTTTAACGTTGATCGTTTTATAACGAAATCAAATCACGCGTGGCTGTGAACACTGGATTCGGTGTTTTGTCGGGTCCGTGCTTAGTGAAAAATCAAATGAAACACAAGCGTAACTTTCAAAACACAGACAGGTGTTAAAAGAGAACTACACAGAAGTCGATTCTAAGTGGATAACCGGCATTGTATTAAAAAAAAAAAAAAACCACGTGCATTAAAGATTCGCCGGATTTAAACGTTACCAAAAATTTTACTAATAAATTTTGAACCTGAATCTAAGAAAAAATTTGAATCGGCCTCCACCTCCTCCCATAGAAGAAGGTCTAAGTACGTTCCCGTAACAGTACAGCCGTGACATCGGAAATCCTGTGCCGATACGCGTAACAGAGGAAACGGATCTGACCTGTGGCGCGCGTCCTGTTACGGTACACGTAACTTGTACACTGATTTTTTTCTTTTTGTACTACGGTACGGTTCGCGCGGTATTTTCATCTAAATGTACGTACGCATCGTTACGGGTTACGACGACGAAAGTGGTCCGACCGCTTCGATTCGCCTCCACCGCCACCGCCGCGACCTGTCAAGTCCTGCCGACGCCGTACCACAGTATTACCTACGTGTGTACGAGGAAGATGATCCGAAAATGAGACGTCTCTCCGACGACGTTCCGATGGGCCGACCGCATTCGGCAATGCGTACAACGAAATATATTATAGTGCACTCTCGTTCGTCTCGGGATTATTTTACCGTGCGTATACTTATGTTTATACAAATGTTTACGTACGCGTACGATCAACGAAATCCCTACGCACTAGAGATGACGACCGTATAAACGGTTAACGGTTTCTTTTTTTTTTTTTAATATTTCATCTTACTCCGTGATCATAAGCTTTAGAAATGAATTTGCGTAAAATGGGTAGAAATGTACGTGTGCGTTTTTGCAGTATTATTACGATGTCAAGATTGTACGCGAAGGCGTGTAAACTCAATGGCGGTGCCAGGAATTTTATCTTGGTGGGGGCTTTTGAAAATTTGGTAGGACCGAAAAAAATCGCAATCCGTTTTATTTTTCCCATTAATAGGCTCGATAAGCGTATGGGGCTAACACTCTACCTATTGGAGATTGTGTTTCCACATAATAATTGGTTTTCATTTTTGTTCATCATAAATATCATGTATTGTTATATCATTTACACGCTTAAACATTAGATATCATTTTCAACAAAATTAAAAATCTTTACTTTATTGTAATATAATACACAAATTTCATTTGTTTTCGAGTAAAATCTGTCATTTTATATTCATTAATTTCAGCCCCCCCCCCAACAATGTGTAAAGGTATAAGTTAAACCTTTGACACTCATACATACATTCACTGCAACGCGAGCACTACATTATTATACGTTATTCGGTTTTTTTTATACGTTCTTAATCGCTTAAATCGCTTACATTTTTATTCTTATTTAATTGTTGTGATTTATTTAACGTTTTCATTTGCGTTGGTAGTATAATACACGTATTACACGTCGACCCGTCGACGCGTATTATCGGTTTGTAATCAAAATTATTGAATGTTTCACAACAATTAATGATCGAAGACATTGGCCTACAACATGGGAGTACTTATTTTCATGTATTCGCTGCAAATGTATTATTGACATTACCGCGTTATCTATTCACGAACACCAATTTCGACCTCGAACGGGGACATTCGACGACCATGTGAGAGCACAAAGGTCTCCGTGACCCCTTTAGCTTTTTATGAACATGTGTACGATTTGGACATGAAATAAAAAATAAAAATATGAAAACACATCATCACACGACCTGTGATTTCCAATTATAGTGTGTGTTGCCGCAAGAGTGATTTGCATAAATATTCATAAATGTACGATTTTTTCTTTCTAATAGGAAATTGTTTTATTTCAGGCGCTCAGCGGGTTTTTGATGATGATGACCCAAAACGGCAAGCTCCTATACATATCGGACAACGCTGCTGAATACTTGGGCCACTCGATGGTAAGTATCCACATGTACGCTATATATTTGTTTGTACGCCACCGCAGTATTGTTTCATAAGTTCACTATTTAATTTTACAACTTTCTCCCTCCGCTACAACCGAACTAGAAACTCTATATTTTGCGACCGATCGTATTTATTTATATGCTTCTTTCACAACTATTGACCTTTTGGGTTCAAATCGATATAATATATGTACGATATTGTAGACGAAAAGGAAAAAAAATCAATTACCTAATTTCTAGACCGGTCCGATTTCCATGTCCGTCTACATTTAAAAATATATTAAGAACGAGAGCTGTACAATAATTATGATTTGAAAAAAAAAAAAAGTAATATATATATATATATATATATATTGGAAAACGGGTTTTGTGGTCACTGCGAGCCCGTAGGCTCTGCCCGGACGCCCACGCCTTTCACCCGGGTGTACGTACGCGTACGTACATGTGTCGTTGGTTTCGAGATACCGAAACTGCAGCAACTTTCCGGAATAATAATAATATATATTAATGCGCGTTTTTCTGTCTTTCTTTCGATGCCCGTCTCGTTCTATCGCCTATATTACGGCTGTTAATGGAAAAACGGGTATCGATAATTTATTGCTAGTAATTTACCAACGGTATTTTTTTTTTTTTCGCTTTTTGTTTTCTCACTGGAAGCCATACCTTGTGCGGAATGACACCAAAGCGTTAGCTCATAGTGCAAAACGATCGCCGAACGACTTTGTAATTATTATTATATTACTTCATCGAGAAGTGTTTATTGACCGGCGCGTGGCGGTTTAGAGTGCCATTTCAACAAAATTATAAGTCGAAGTTCTCCCATACGTACCGTGCACAGTTTGCGGCCAAAATGTTATCGGCGTAAATATACCTACCAGGCGCGCGCGCGTGTGTGCGTGTAAGCGTGTGGTGTACCAATCGCAGTTTCTTTGCGAGTTGTTCAAAATCGAATTCTCCGTTCGAGTCCATAAACGCACAGCAATAGGATAATATTGTTATTACCATTAAACATAGTAATTCGAAAATAGAAATTCGCAATTTATCTTCGGCGGGAAGTTTAATTTCGGTTTACAGTTATAGCGTTACTGCGATATCGTGTAACTCGAACAATTGGTTTTAAATGACCACCCACACGAAATGAATCGCCATCGGGTTTCGAACAGTCGTAACATTGACGCGCGCGAGCGGCCACTATCGGTGAGATCCAATATCCGTGTGTACACGAGCAGCACCTGCAGTCGAATAACATTCGGTTGACAGTGCAGCGCAGCAACAGCGCAACATTAACATTCCGTAACGATTTAGTGTTTCGCGGGCATCCGGGGTATCGGCTGAACGTGCGCACCGTGTACAGCGTGAGGTATTTGTTAAAATTTTCAATTAGCATAATATCGTACGTCGGAATCTAACGCGAGACCGGTGAAAGTTGATTTGTTTTATTTTTCGAAGCCTATGGAAAACCGCTGAACACCGTGTGATCGGTCACTACTTAGACGATATTAAATCCGAAGGCAGCCGAATAACCCGTGCGCCCGCCGTTCACTCCCACGCGTTCGGCCTACTCTTGCGGCGATCCTACCGTAAACCGCCGATCGACCGAATCGCCTACAGATTTTTTTCGCGTGCGCGTAGACGTAATATTTTATTTATTGTTACGAGAAAAAGAAAAAAAACAATGCTTTGGTGAACACAGCGCTGTACGCACACAAAAATCACACGCTGATACTTGTACTGCTCACTATACTTTCGTACGTGGTCGGCCGTTGACCAGTATGGACTCGATGCGCGCGCTGTTATTAAGTCCGCCGTGAAATCCGTTTCGAATCCTAAACAACGAGATGGTGCCTGTTTAGTACTGGCCGACAACGCGTGCGAGGGCGATAACGGACTAAAAAATGCTAATGACCATCGGCAGCGTGCGCAGGAATTTGTTATGGGAGGGGGATGTCGCACCGAGGAATGTATTATTTTCGATTCCTATTCTTTTATTAAAAACATTCAATCATGGCGGGAACTCGGCCTACCGGCTTTTAACATTAAATTCATCGATAATTTGTTCTGCAGATAACGGAATGTCATTAACGCAATCCATTCAACCACGACTGCCCCGTCGTATTTCTCGAATACGTTTTTAATCGTTTAAGACTAAAAAAAAAAAAAAAAAATGCCCACGGGGGGATACATCTCCCGTCATTCCTTCCTATTTCGTTGTGTTTCACGTCCGTAGGTAAAACTTCGTAAAAAAAAAAAAACACTTTTCTTGACTTACGACTTCCGTGGATATTATCGTGGATTTGAAAGCGTGTGTTGGTACAGCCAAACGAGCGAAGCGCTAACTACGAACGAATAAAAAAATCGAAAAGAATATGTTTTAACAACAGTTACACCGAACAGCGTTGCTTTTTTACCTATCGTTTAATCCGGACTATGTTTCCGAGGGGCTTAACGCCCTCTTGTTATCGCACCTCGTACACACCTACTTGACGAGAAAATCAGGTAATGCGCACCGCCGCGGCGTTCCGTAACACATCGCGGTCCGATCATCTTCTCGTAAACACGTATTATAACGTACAAATATATTAGGTACAGCTCGTTTCTCCCCCCCCCCCCCCCC